TTCCTGTACTGAAATTAGGAAATTTTTATGTAAGAAGAAGACTTGGGGTTTCTTCCTTGTCTTTTCTTTTTCTCTAGTATAGTAGGGCTCAGAAGGCAAACAGAAAAAGAAAAAGAGGCAGAATGAAAGAGACAACTACTGTAGGGTGAAAAAGACTACAACTAGTAAAGCACTCCAGAAAGAGGCCCTAGATTGAAGTGGATAATAAACTCTTTTGAGAAAGATTATCATTATAAACAATTACAGAAAACTCTCTGAATACATGGTATTATGCTAGATACTGAGTACACAAAGAGGTAAAATACAAAGTTCATGCCATCAAGAAGCTTTTGAGTCCTGGATTCAGGAAATAGCCATAAATCTATAAATAGTGTTATCTGAAAGTGATACAGTAATTCAGGAGTAAGAATTTACTTTGAGTTCAGTTGTTTTGGGAAATACCATCAGAAGTTTATACCTTGAAGATATAGTAGGATCTTAGGTAAATGAAGTTAAGAAGGTCGGAGACTCCAAGAAGAATTAGTATGATCAAAGGGGAGGAGGTGGTGGGTGTTTGGATGTAATATTCAAAGTGCTTTGGGGAAATGATAGATAGATTGAGGTGAAAGGAACAGAATATTCATGTTTGTGAACTGGTAGATAAGATTGGCAAAGTGAGATTGGACCAAAAGTGGAGAACCTAGAATGACAAGCTAAGTGTTTTGGGCTTATCCTGAAAGTGATGTGAGGAGGACTTTTGGAAGATTTTGAATGGGAGTGTGACATAGGTAAACAGTTATGGAAAAATAATCTAGAAGTTCATGGAGAACAGATTATGGGGGAAATATGGAGGAAGTCTGGATGGCAAGTGATAAGGACCTAGCCTTAGGGCAGTGGCATTGGGAATAGAAGAGATCGCACATGAAAAATATCACAGTAATAGAATTTTCCTTTTCTCTTTAATCTGCTTATTTTTTAAATCCATGTATTCTGCTAACCAATCCACAAATGTTTTATCGAATACCTAATGTCTGCCAAGGCCACGTTGATACAAAGACTACAAATCCCAGTGCCTGGCCATCAAAGTGTTGAGGGACTAAATGTGGCTACTGAATCAGGATAAGTCAAGGATGACAGTATTTTGAGCCTGGATGGCAGAAAGAATGATAAATGCATGAGAGAAAAATTTTCAGCTTTTTCTTGTATGATGACTTGCACTTCTTGTATACTGTAGCCTGGTGATAACAAATTAAGCAGAAGCCTTGATCTCTTATATATTGCACATGTTCCCCTCCCCATGTAATTTTTTTAGGGTACTAAGAATATGAAATTCTTAGATGTTTCCATTTCATTTATATTTAGGGAAATGAAGAAAAAAAAGCTTCCAAGTGACTCAGGGGATTTAGAAATGATAGAAGGAAAGGACAAAGAAAAAGAAAATGCTCTACACATTGAAACTCATCAGAACACCAGCAAAAATGTCCCGGCTGTGCAGCCAATGAAACGAGGACAAAAGGTAATACAACTTTGGGGTGAGCTGTTAAAATTAGTACTACATGATTCATAAATGAAGTTGTGAGGTTTAAATGAAACAAGATGTAGACAAAATAATGCTGTGTGACTTCTTTTGAAAATTAGTTGAAAAGATAGTGTTTAGGCAGCATAGAGATCACTGTTCTGTTCTTTTAAGATCATCTATACAGAAGCTTTCAATGTTATGTAGAAGAGTAATAGGAGATTCTGATTTATTTGCCAGAGACACTCAGCTAATAACTGGCAATGCTGGTCTCCATTGATAATTTAACTCATTGGTTTCTTTTTCAGTTATTAATGCAATTTTGGTTACAGTTCTTACATATTTTATAAAAGTAAGGAGTGAAGGAAGAGGTAGTGGGTATAGACTGTACTTTAAAAAATGTTGTAGCAATGTAAAGAGATTGTGAGCTGATGTATAGGTATTTCTTTAGAAAAATTAAATTCCTTTGAAATCTTAGTAAAGATCATGTTTTATCTTTCCTCCATCCACAGTAGTCAGAATTTCCTATGTTTTTTTCCAGTGGGCTTCATATAAGTGAAAGGATATACTATACATATGGAAGGGAAGAAATCAATTCATATTAATATGTAAATTCAACATGAAGTCATTCAGAAAAGAATTGAGATTTTAATTAACTTGATAAAGTAATTCTTAAGTTCATTTGAAAGAGTAAATACCAGAGAATAGCTAAGAAAATCTTTTTTTAAAAAAATACAATTATTTATTTATTTATTTATTTTCAGCTCTGTTGGGTCTTCATTGCTGTGCGCGGGCTTTCTCTAGTTGTGGTGAGGGGGGGCTTCTTATCGCGGTGGCTTGTCTTTGTTGCGGAGCACCGGCTCTAGGCATGTGGGCTTCAGTAGTTGTGGCTCACTGGCTCAGCTGCTCCACGGCATGTGGGATCTTCCTGGACCAGGGCTCGAACCTGAATCCCCTGCGTTGGCAGGCAGACTCCTAACCACTGCACCACCAGGGAAGTCCCAGAAAATCTTGAAAAAGAAGATCAAGGAACGATTTCCCTACTAGGTAGTAAAACATTTACTGTTAGAATTATTAAAACAGTATGTGTTAACATAGGAACAGCCAGATAGAAAAGTGAGGCAGAATAAAATCTACACATAGAACCATAAACTGTGTATTTTAAAATTTAGTATTTGATAAAGTATTATTACAGATTGGGAGGGTATGAAACATTAAAAATTAGTGGCTAGTCATGTTTTTAAAAATATTGAAGTAAATATCAGGTGGAGAAAAGAACCATCAATAAAATTGAAAGACAAATGACAGATTGGGGAGTGGGGAAGCAGGGATCAGAGAAATGCTTATGTCAACAAGGGGAATTTTTTCACCCATCAAACTAATAGATAATGTGTGTTCAGTCATTCAATAAAAGTTTGAATATATACCATGGGAATTTCCAGCAAGAGTCTTCTAACAATTCAGTACTTCCCTGGTGGTCCAGTGGTTAAGAATCTGCCTTCCAATGCAGAGTTCGTGGGTTTGATTCCTGGTTGGGGAACTACAATCCCACATGCCATGGGGCAACTAAGCCCACGCACTGCAACTACTGAGCCCGCGTGCCGCAATGAAAGACCCTGCATACCACAGTGAAGATCCTGCGTGCTACAACTAAGACCCAAAGCAGCCACATAAGTAAATAAATAAATGTTTTTCTAAAAAAGAGTCCTTAACAATGCATTTGCCCTCTGACTCACTCAGCAATTCTTATTTTTAGAAATTTATCCTAAAAAAAATCTTACGTATGCACTAAGGATATTCGTCGATTTTTTTTTTTTTTGGCCGCACCGCACGGCTGGTGGGATCTTCGTTCCCCACCAGGGGCCAAAACCTGGGCCCTTGGCAGTGAAAGCACACAGTCCTAACCATTGGACCACCAGGGAATTTTCATAAGTTAATGTTTATAATTGCAAAAAATCTGAAAATCTTAAATGCCTAATAATATAAAATAACAAAAAATAACGTGGTGCATGTATACAATGAACTATTCTGCAGATAAATTCCAAGGCAAATCCTGATGAAATTTTTATAAAATACATTAAATTTTTAGATTATTTTGTGGAGAACTATCATCTTTACCATATTGAGTCTAACTGTTCGTGAATGTGGACCATAAGTACATAAGAATATTTTATATTCTTCAATAAAGATATATTTCCTTTTAGAGTCTTGTACATCCTATCTATTCCTACTTATAATTGTCTTACTTTTTGTAAGTGGTATATTTTCATTTTTTATTTATTTTTGGCTGCGTTGGGTCTTCGTTGCTGTGCACGGGCTTTCTCTAGTTGCAGCAAACGGGGGTTGCTCTTCATTGTGGTGCGCGGGCCTCTCATTGTGGTGGCTTCTCTTGTTGAAGAGCACGGGCTCTAGGCACGCGGGCTTCAGTAGTTGTGGCGCACGGGCTTAGTTGCTCCATGGCACATGGTATCTTCCCGGACCAGGGCTCGAACCCGTGTCCCCTGCACTGGCAGGCGGATTCTTAACCACTGTGCAACCAGGAAGTCCAGTAAATGGTGTATTTTTAAAACTTCCACTTCATGGTTATTAGTTACTGGTATATGGAAAGACAGTTTTCATGTGTAGATCTAGTATTAGGCAGTCTCACTGAATATTTAATATTTCATCTACAGATGAAATTCAGGCAGTCACTGTCTACAAATAATGGCTCTTCTCTTCTAATCCTAACATCTGTTGTTATTTTTCTCACCTTGTAGTGGCTCAAACATCACTACAGTGTTACATAAAAGTAACAATAGTGTGCTTCTTTGTTATACATTAAAGGGACTATTTCTGTGATCTTTAACATTGTAGGATGTTTCTTGTGGGTTGTTGATAAATATCCTTTACAAAGGGCTAGTTTTAATAATGATGAGTTAAATTTTATTGAATGGTTTTTCTGCATGTATTATTTTTCTCCCTTCATGAGTTAGTGTGGTAAATTACTTAAGAAAATTTCTTAAACTGGCCCCTAATACTGTCCTTGCCTGTTTTGGGTATCTAGGTGATACCAGCTTCATAAAGTAAGTTTGATACTTTTCCCATTTTCTGCTCTTTAGTACTTTGTGTAAAATGGAGATTGTTCCTTGAAATTTTTTTAGCAATTGCTTATAAACCCGGGCCTGATATTTGGGGATATATGGGTAGGTTTTTAAGTTCTAACTAAATTTTTTTAGTGATTATCATTCAGGTTTTCTGGGTTTTTCAAAGTTGGCTTTCCTAAGTTATATTTTCCAAGAAACTGTTCTTTTTATTGGGTTTTCCATTTCTTGGTTCAATTTATTGGTAATAGTGTTTATTCTTGGGGTTTTTTGTTTTTTTGAGGTGTAATGTACACATAGTAAAATGCACAAATCTTGTTTTTAGCTCAGTTTTTATATGCACATATATCTGTGAAACCACCACTCAGAATAAGACACTTGAATGTTTATATTACTCCAGAGGGCTCACTCTTGTCCCTTTCTATAAATAGTATCCCCACCAGAGAAAAACATTCTTCTTTAATCACTGTAGATTATTTTGCCTGTTTTTGAACTTTATGTAAAAAAGCAATCATACTGTATATATTCTTTGGTCTGGCATCTTTCACTCAACCTTGCGACTCATCCATGTTGTTGTGTGTAACAGTAGTTCATTTGCATTGCTAAATAGCATTCCACTGATGGATCTGCCACAATTTCTGTCTGCTGTATTGTTGATAATCGAAGGACATGTATCTTTTAGGTTCTCAGTGTGCATTTCTGTTGTGTATAGCTAGGAGTGGAAATGCTGGGTTATAGTGCACATATTGTGTTTGGCTTCTCCAGAGTACTTGTACCAATTTCACATCAAGTAGTGTATCAGAGTTCCCGTTGCTTCACGTCATCACTAACATTTGGTATTGTTAGCGTTTTTTAAGTCATTCAAGTGTGTGTATACTGAAACTTAATTTGGCTTTAAAAAGTTGGGTTGTCCAGCTTTCTTACTGATTTATAATTCCTTGAAACCCTGAATACAAGTCTTTTCTTGGTTATATGTATTACAACTACTTTTCATGTTTCAAGACTTGCTTTTTCACTTCTGTAGTAGTGGGGGATTTTTTGATGTGGACCTTTTTTTTTTTTTTTGTCTTTATTGAATTTGTTACAATATTGCTCCTGTTTTATGTTTTGGTCTTTTTTTTGGCCCAGAGGCATGTGGGATCTCAGCTCCCTGCCAGGGATCGAACTCACACTCCCTGCATTGGAAGGCGAAGTCCCAACCACTGGACAGGGAAGTCCCTGTAGTAGTGTTTTTTGATGAGCATCATTTGTTAATTTTAATGAAGTCTGATTTATCAGTCTTTTATAGTTAGTGGTTTTTTTGTGTGTCTTGTTTAAAGCAATCTTTAAAATTTTAAAAATTTGTTATTTGGGCCCTAGCTAAGACTAGTCAAGATAAAAAGTCTTTGAAAGTGAAGCCTGTATGTCTGTAGTTTTAAAAACTGCTCGGGTGAGTTGGATGTGTACCCAGAGTAAAGAATCAGTAGTTTAACTGATAAAATTCGAAGTATTGATAGCCTCTACAATAAATACGCAGCTAAGCTTTGCTGCCTTATTTCCTATTCTTCCTCTATATGTGTATCCTGATGCCAACCAAGTGCGATGACTTGCTGTTACTACTCTGCTGTCTTTACCTTATAATCTTGCTGTTCATGTATTCCCAGGTACTATGAATCTTTTAGTTTTGCTTTATATCTTCCCTACAATTCTTGCTCAAGGTGAAAAAAATGTCTCCTTTGTCTAAATTATCTTAAAAATAAACTTGTTTGTATTTAGAATATTTTGCATTAATTTATCCTTACTCTTCTATGTATCTTCTTTTTCCACCAGATGGTAATTGTTTGAGGGTGAGGACTATGGTTTATCCATCGTTAGGGACTTCATGTTGTTTGTTATAATGGTGCCTTACTCAATAAGCAATTTTGACAGAAATAAAGTAGCACCTTCTCTTTACAAAACATGTGTTGACATTTTTTTACTGCTGAACTTTTCCAACCAAAATTTTTTTATTTTGTAGAGTAAAATGAAAAAAATGAAGGAAAAGTACAAGGACCAAGATGAAGAAGAACGTGAGCTCATCATGAAATTGCTAGGGGTAAGTAACATCTAAAAACATTTTCTTTTGTTTTTCAAGGGCATCCAGACCACTGCCTATCATATGCTTTATATTCAATACTTTGTTAAAATACTGACAACATTAACTTTTTTTCCCTCTATGAATTGAAGTCTGCAGGTTCAAACAAAGAAGAAAAAGGGAGGAAGGGGAAGAAAGGTAAAATAAAGGATGAACCAGTGAAGAAACAGCCCCAGAAACCTAAAGGTGGACCAAGAGTTTCAGACAGCATAAAGAAAGAAACTCCATCCCTTGAAGTTACAACTCATGAGTTACAAGAATTGGCTGTAGATGATCCACATGATGACAAGGTAAGGCTACCACACATGTGGGCTTTTGCTTCTTAATTAGGGTGACCAACCATCCCAGGGTTCCCAGGACATGGGATTTACAGTGCTAAAACCAGGATGAGTGGTAACGCTATTCTTAATGGAAAGTCATCTTAGAAATACAACCTAAAAGACTAAAATTGCAGCATATAAGTGTAAAAATGGTAGTGTTGATAGCTCATAAAAAGTTTATCATAAGCCATTAGAAAATTTTATGGAGAGGCTAGGTTCTGGTGGAAACTTAGTTAAAATAAAACAGATAATTAGGATTATCTTGATGATGAGTGGGAAAGGAATTTGCACTTTTCTAGGTTTTTTGTAAGAATATATGTTATAGTATCTTACATTATGTTGAACCTAGATACACAGTATGAGATGTTAACAATTTTTCCAGTTAATATAGTTGCCTTGTGTCTATCAACTGAATACAAAAGCCCAGCCTTACGTATATCTTTTTTTTTTTTTAATCCTGATTAGCTATTTTTTTTCTTATTTATTTAATTTATTTATTTTTGGCTGCATTGGGTCTTTGCTGCTGCATGCAGGCCCCCTCCAGCTGCGGCGAGCAGGGGCCACTCTTCGCCATGGTGCGCAGGCCCCTCAGTGAGGTGTCCTCTCCCGTTGCAGAGCACGGGCTCTAGGTGCACAGGCCTCACTAGTTGTGGCACGCAGGATCAGTAGTTGCGGCACGCAGGCTCAGCAGTTGTGGCAGACGGGCCCAGTTACCCCACGGCATGTGGGATCTTCCCAGACCAGGGCTCGAACCCGTGTCCCCTGCATTGGCAGGCGGATTCTTAACCACTGTGCCACCAGGGAAGCCCCCCTTACGTATATCTTCTTGCATGAATATATACCTCTTATTGAAATTCTGAACAAAGGATTTATTGTTTTATCAATTTGTAAAAAAAATTTTGTTTCACTTTGTATTTTTATTTATGGCAGTTAAAGCTTTGGTTGTAATTGTGTGCTCTATTCAGTGCAGGTAATGCTTACAGGGATCCTAAGTGATACTGTTTTCTTTTTTCCCTGAACAGTGTTGTTTAGTAATATTAAAACTCAATTTTGTCTTCAAATTTTTATACTATTTATTCTGTAAACCCTAGACTCAGATATTCAGAGGTGTTAATTATGAATGTTCTTTCATCAGTAGATTATCTTCAGATAGATTTTTTTAACGTGAATAAGCAAATAAAATTAAGCTTATCATAACGTGAAAAATTCATCCTAAAACTGTTGAACAGAGACTAGCAAATAAAAGTTCTGTTCACCAGAATTCCCCATTTTCTTTCCCCCTGGCAAACCTATCAAGCTCATTTGTCACTTTAAATCGTCCTAATAGCATTCACTACTTTAGCATATATTCTGTGGAAGTCTTTTTTTGAAACTTAAGGGAAACAGTCTTTTTTCTCTTTGAATGGCATTGCTTTCTGCTATACTGGATACACATATTAATTTACTCACAGTCTTATCACTTTTTCTTTCTCCTCATAGTTTTTAATGGTTTGGAATTTCAATTTAAGTTATAACTGACTTTTAAAATTTTATATATTTGGAACAGGAAGAGCAAGATCTGGACCAACAGGGAAATGAGGTATGATTTTGTATTGGGGTTCCTACTACAACACTAACTGCAATCCAGTTCCCAGACTACCTGACAGACAACTTCTAACTAATTAAACTTAAAACACTAAGAAAAGACTACAAGCTCTGGAGTCACACATTCTGGGTTTGAATCCCAACTTTACTACATATGACTTCAACCTTGGAAACATTCTTTATGCCTCAGTTTCCTCATCTGAAAAATGGGGATAATAATTGCCCCTACTGAGAGAGTTGTTTTGAGAATTAAGATAATATACATAAAATGTTTAGAAAAGTTCACGGCATATAGTAAGCACTAACTGTACCAAATGTTTTGTCCTAAATTTAAATTTACTCATGTTGTTAAATAAATATGGGTAATCTTGAACGCAGTCCACAAAATGGGAACTCTGAGAAGCCATAGAATTTCTCCTTAAGGACAGGCATGAGAGAAGACTGTTCTAGCCCAGGGTTTCCCAACTTTGGCACTATTAACATTTTGGAGGAGGTAATTCTTTGTTGCGGGGAGTTGTCCCATCCCTGGCATCTACCCACTAGCAGATGTCAGTCGTACTCTATTTCCTCCCCCAACCTCGCTTCAGTTATGACAACCAAAAATGTCTCCAACAAGTTTTTTCTCCCTTTCTCTTAAATGTTTCAATAGGCGCCATTTTAAAAATCGTCATTAAGCTCTGCTTTATTGCTCCGAAGGGTGTAAGACTGTTTATCAGAAAATGATAAAATATATTGATTCTGACAGTGTTTTATTAGAGTTTTCCTCTTTTAGGACTGGTATAAATTATTTTTATAATCGTTTTTGTTTTCCCTTTTTAGGAAAATCTGTTTGACTCTTTGACGGGGCAGCCACATCCTGAAGATGTACTCCTGTTTGCCATTCCAATATGTGCCCCATACAACACCATGACAAACTATAAGTAAGTCATCATGAGTTTACTCAAACTGCTGCCACAGCACTGACTCATGAATCATTTTGTAATCTCTATTTAGTAACACATGCAATTCCTTTTTAAAGATACAAAGTGAAACTTACTCCTGGAGTTCAGAAAAAGGGAAAAGGTATTTAAAATCTTTTTTTGAATTATGTTTAAACATTTCTTGACTGAACAGAAGTAGATTTTTCTATTTTCTATTTACAGCTGCAAAAACAGCCTTGAATAGTTTCATGCATTCCAAGGAAGCAACAGCAAGAGAAAAAGACTTATTCCGCAGTGTAAAGGTAAAGTATTCCTCTAGAAACCTCTGGAGATTGGTGGTGCAATTAAAAATGTTAGCAGTTATTGCTTTGTTAGTAGATGGAACCTGCAGCTATTATTTTGGTAGAAAATGCAGTCTTACTAGAAGCAATATAAAATAAGTAAAATCATATTGGGTGAAAATTTTTAGAAATGCCATTCTTTTGACAGCAGAGGACATATAATTGTCATAAAAGAAAATATGATTGTGAAGATACTCAGCAATTCTTTTTTTTAGGACACGGATTTATCAAGAAACATTCCTGGCAAAGTGAAAGTGTCTGCACCCAATCTTCTGAATGTAAAAAGAAAATAGCTGAAATGAAATCCTAAAATATTTGAGAAGAGTCAATTTTATAGCCTTTTGGAAGTTCAGAGATGAAAACATCATGTAACAAGACTTCCGCATTTAAAAATAAACTAAACGTTGCCTTGTATTCGCCAAAAGGATTTATTTTTTTTTTTGCAGTTTTATAGAGAGGAAACAGTGTCTATGATAGGATTTCCTAAAATACCTGTGGACAGCTAAATGCTAATTGTATACATCTGTAGTTATCCTCCTACATTTTCTTGAAATTTGGGAGGTTAATATTAAGTATTCATTTCATGCTGTAAAGAAATGGAATAGTGAAGTGGCTCAACTGCTTAGACTATTGACTTGGTAGTTTACTGTATATAACGTGTATCGATTACAGGCCAATCACAAGTTTTTTTCCTGGTGGTGGTGGGGATTGGGGGTGGTTAAACATTTAGGATTAAGTCTTGAAAACCCTAAGCAGTGAAAGAGTAGACTTTCTTCTGCCTTTACCCATGTTAGACCAGATTTTAAATACAAATCAATCGTTTCCATGACTCAGCTTAAGAGATAACACCTAGAAGAAATTGGTGTTGATAACTTCCATGCATTTATACACCTTTACTTTACTTTACACCTTTACTTTTCATCTTAATTTCCTCCTTGTAATCTCATTCAGCTCTGTACCATTTTACTTTCCACCTCTAGTAATTATCAGTAGCATGTTACAGAGTATCTTAACCTATAATATCATAAGTGCACTTTTTGGCTTACCACTAAAGACTCCTGACCCAGCTTTCTTCTTCTATCTATCTCCTAACAGAATGGAGAATAAAGTCGTACATTATTTCCATTCCTTATGAGCTACAAAACTGTTACTTTAAAAATAATTAGATAATAGCTGCCTAGAGTCAACATGAGCACTTGCCCCAGCCCCTATTCCAAAGCATTATGGTCAAAGTACTAAACAGCTGTTGGTCCTTCCGAGGTTTCTTTTACCTGCTTAACCTTATCGAGAATATTTTTCCTTTTGAAGTAAGTTACTGTTAAAAACAAAAAGCTTTATGTAGCCTAGTGTTGTAAATACAACATAATAGACTACTTGTGCCATTAAAAAAACACCTGAAATATTCATGTCTTTCTTTAAAAAATAACTTCACCATTTTGATAGTGGTAAGGATAATTAGTATAATGTTTCTATAGGTACATATCCTGATGTTACCAAATAGGAAATATAATAACCATTCCTTGGGGTTAAAAAGCCCAAGTATTAACTTACTTTTTGTTTTAATAGAAGACAGTTACTGGTGTTAAATACATTTATTGTAAACTTTAGACACAAAAATAGGTTCTCTAGGCCATTCACATACACAGTAAAACTAAAAAGCTGCAAACTACAACAATGCACATAATTATATAAACAATGTCACTCTGATGTTTACAGAATTGCTGTCCATGCAAGTGATCAGAGGCACTGTCTATGAAGCCTTAAGATCCAGAAGTGTTGTTACTACCAAACCTCTGATTAACACTGTGAAGTAAGTGTTTTGGAAGGCAGTTCCACGAGCTGGCTAACATTTCTTTAAAGCAAATGACTGCTTCTAAGCTTAGCCTGAAAGTGGACAAAGAAAGAGAAAAATAATTTCACTTTATGGCTTAGAAGTACATTCACTTGAAGAACTACCAAAAAAGAAAAAGCACTTTAAAGATTTTCATAGGAACTGGATAGTTTTAACAGTGAAGGCTTGCTATTGCCCTTAAATTATCCATAAACCTGTTTTTTCAAGAGCATTAATTGTTTAAGAAACACAATTTAAAGTAAGTACCAAGTAAAAAGTTACTTACCTTACAAGAGATTTTGGTTGAACTGAAAATATAAGTATTTCATTACTGTGTGCCTGAAAAACAGACATGAAGAATATATTAAAAGTACTTCACAAGAAAGCTTCAGCAATATTATGAAGTGTCCTTTAATAAAGGGTAGTGTACTTACAGCCCTGTGATGGACAAGAAGGTTATTGGCACACCCACCAAACACAATGACTTCTCCTTCATCACTGGCACAAGCTGTATGCCATAATCTACATTTAAAACAAAAACTTGAGTTTGAAGTCACCCTGAACACCAAACTGATCATTTATTTATACTACAGAATAGAGATGATGAAATAAAGACTAAAGATCTTTAGTGCAGCCCAAAACATAATGGTGAGATGCAGTTATCTCAAGGAAACGTAGCAGAAGCTAGAAAAATCAATGTCTGTTTTATCTGGATGTTACCGTTTTATCTTTCTGGTCCATTCCTAATTTATGCAATGAGGAATGTGAACTGAACTGTTCTCTAGGTTTTTGTTAGCAATAAAAGTCTTACGGGGGATTAGTGGTATATGCCCTCTGCTTCTTTTCCTCTTTTCATAGGCAGCACCAGTTGGCCTTACACAAAACATCTGAGGGATGCTGACTCTGCCTGAGTGAACAAGTATCTTCAGGCCTGATAATTCTGTGAAAAGAATATTTGTGCCAAATGACGTCTTAGCGGCATGACTGTACTTAGGTCAGAGGTGTGGGGAAAAATGCAGGCTGACATTATCCAAATGTGCTTTGAACACCAACTTTGCATCATTTCCTTTAGCAGTCTTTGTAACAGTTCTTTTCAAGATTAACAAGAAAAATAACTATCAGTGTTTTAATAGGCTCTTTTTGGATGATTTGACTTCTTGATCTTTGTCATACAGCACAATTGCAAATCTGATCGAAAGTTCTTGATTCTCCCTTCCCAGCCCCTCCCCCCCACTGCCATAAACATTCTTTAGGGTTTTGAAAGTCTCTCCTTTCCAGTTCCTTTTTGTTTTTTTAATGAAAAATCTAGAAACAGTTCAACTCACTTGACTAAAGAGCTTGAGTATAAATCTTAACAATGTCAGTAATTTTATGATGAAGCAAAAGTCAAAATCCAGCCCTATCTTTCATACACAGATGATAAAAAAGAAAGCACTGATACTAGGATAACACTGGTTTTCTCTTCTTCCAAAAGCTACAATGTTAAACCTTAGTGAATGCTAGGGTTCTTATAATAAGAATGATGAACTAAATGCAGCCAATCAAATTTCCTCAATCATTACCAGTCTTGTACATCTCTATGGACCTCATTCATTCAGCATAAGAATTAGCTTTTAAATAGTTCATACCTTGGTTTTTCAGTATAGGGATGATTAAACTGTATCCATTCATTTTTACTGATGCAGTAAGTCCAGGCATCACCTGATTGAAGCAAAGAAAAAGAGCTATGAAGTATGTTAATGTGACATTGATATTTAAAGAGCATAGCTTTAGTAAGAACAGTAATAAATCAGATTTTGAGTAGATACAGAAAGTATACTTCGTTTTTTTTCCTGCAGTTAACCAAGTAAGCCCTTTGCATGTTACAGCCCTTTAGCAGGGCAAAGTGTTCCAGGTCATTTTTTTACTGGACCAATGGATGTGTCATGAAAACAATTATAGGTATGTTATAGGATCAAAATTAGTAGCAAACCTTCTAACCAACCCTATAGCCCTCTGATAAATTTAAAATACTGATTTTTTTCAGCTATTCATATATTACTTATGAATGATACATAATAACTTTTGTTTTTTTGCGTGGGCCTCTCACTGTTGTGGCCTCTCCCGTTGCGGAGCACAGGCTCAGCGGCCATGGCTCATGGGCCCAGCCACTCCACGGCACGTGGGATCTTCCTGGACCAGGGCACGAACCTGCGTCCCCTGCATTGGCAGGCGGACTCTCAACGACTGCACCACCAGGGAAGCCCTATAATAACTTTTTAATGTTTTTAAAGTACTTACTTAGTGGCTGTTTATCAGTGGTAAATCCTCCAAAGAGAAAGAGATGATCTGAAGAAACCGGTGTTAGTGAGTGCCAAGATCGGCCAACTGGGCATATGCCTTGTGGAATTCTGAAAATAATAGCTAAGTTACAATATCTACATTTAAAAGCCGCTACTGTATTTAATGCAGAGAAATACTAAAGAAGTTTTCTTTCAAAATTTATATGGAATTTTGAAAAGAGACTTTAAAAAGGCTTCTTGGTATTAACTACATGCTTTAGAATGAACTACTTTCTTTGAAGGAAGAGTCAACTTTAGATCTTTTCTTTTCAGTAAACACTGAGCACATGCTATGTGCCAGGCATAGTTTATGGGAACTGCAAATTTTAAAATTCCTTCTTTAAGGATTTAGTGATTATGTTTACTTAAATTCATAGTTACAGAAAATGTAAGCAAGTACATTATATACTAATAATAGAGTAAGGGAAAAATCCATTGAAATTTCTTTGAAAAACTTTTCTAAATAATTATCTAAAATGATACCTACAATTCATTCCACTCCCATGTATCCAGATTAAGATAGTGAAGATCATTCATTCTAGCATCCTAGAAAAGGATAATTAACTAGTTATCATTTTGAGTAATTCAAAAGCAAGTCATTGAAACTGTTTTATATACTCACTCGATATCTGCCTCCAAACACAAAGCCTTTGTTTCCAACAGTTGCACAGGCATGGGCAGCACGAGGTGAGGGTGCTTTACCCTAGTAAGGTCATAAAAGCAATTTAATAAATAAGTGAACGTTTTATAAATACCAGAAAGAGTCTACTCTGGATGTGGGATAAGAATGTGCAAGACACTTGAGCTTTTAAGCTGAAGTGCAAACTTATAGTAGACAGCAGTACTGAAGGCTGACTAGCAAACTGGGAGTTTCTGAAATACATTACTGAAGGGGCTAGTTAATACAATAGAATGCTTGCTTGCTTTACTTTTATCTTTTAAAACAAAAGCTAGCATATTATATGACATCTGTGTCAGAGGAAAAAGAAACCTAATATTTGAGTAACTTAAATTCCAATCCAGCACTAGGTCATTTATTACAAACAATACCACTTTAACAGCTATTAGATAATAGATGCTGGGCTAGTCTATACATTCATTAAACTTTTTTGAGTTTTAAACTCCTTGGAGAATAATGAACTGTCAATTTTACACCACCTGCCAATTCCCCTTCTCATCTAAGCAGCCTTGCTTTAATAATTCATTATTCTTCAGTAACTCACAGTAGTTATAGGCTGGCTCCAGACAAATGTTTCAGTGTCTAAAATATGTACATGATCATTCCATCCTCTTGGATGACTTGAATTCTACAGAAAATAAATAAGAATCTGAGTTATTTTACAAATAATGTTTGTAAAATCATATAGCCTTTGTCTGGTTTATTAAGAGACCAAAATGAACAAAGCTAATAGCAAACAAAGTGTATTATTTCAACAGACTGGGTA